CCAGCTGCAACTAAGCACATGAGCGCGGGTTACGGTATTGCGGTCCCACAGCGAATTTCGCAGCCCCCCTCACTTTATAAATAGCACCGACGGAAACCGGTACCTACAGTAATCTGAGTTGGGATTAAATGCAATGGACGCAGCATTTATGCTCAATATATTTAATTCCACGGCATAACATTGTTAGATTATACAAATACTCTGTCCGTCACATATGTTTGAGTAGATGCCTCAGATAATTACACGGGGCTGATGGAGGGGCCGCGTAGGGGCTGTGTTGCTACGACAACCATTTCGAGCCAGGACCCAAAACTGGATTACTGTAGGAGCCGGGCTCCGCGTTGGATCTTCGTTTTTGTGCATCCTTACATTGAATAATAAATCATTGCTTTTTGTTTCCCTAGCTTTTCTGCAATCCGTGGTTCCCTGTTTTTAGGGCCGAATAGGAATTCCTCACCTTTACAAAGTTCTGAATCGCTCGATCTTGTATGAACTGCTTGCAATCTTTCATTGTTGAGAAGATATTCTCTACGAGTCGTTCTCGTTCATCATTGTTTAGAACCTGACAAAAAATAAGACCTGTAGGTACTGTACTTAACTCAACTCAAAGGCTGCTTTCATAGTCCACGACCAGTTGCTCGACTGGTCGCTCGGCTGATCGCGCGATCTCCTCGGGACCGTCCCCGGCGGCTCCCCTGATTAGCGCGGCCTCCTCGACCGATCGAGCGAGCGGTGGCGCGATCAGTCGAGCGACCAGTCGCGCGGCTGGTCGCCAGTCGCTCGCGAGTTGGGTCCGCGACCGGTCGCGCGACTGGTCGCTCGCACAATCGTGGACTATGAAAGATGCCGAACTGTACACTCAGTAGGGTCAACTCGAGTACCTTTTCCCAGAATAGCCGAGGTTGTTCAAAGTTGTTCTCATCAATGGATTCGTGTCGAGCAACGTCTCCTGTCGTACTCCATCTGCTTTCTGCTGACCTCGGACATTCTACTCCACCATTGAAACTGTTCGGGAAGTAATTTGGAGCATTACCTTAAAAGAAAAGCTTGAAAATTATGCGTGTCTTCTTCAGAAATGGGAATTCTAAAGATCAGAGATTTTGAAAGGATGGTTTCAGGTGTGAAGATTGATGAGATCGAGAATTTTCCCGTTTTACGATAGAGCTGGAGAGTTAATTGCTCACATGAAGATCACTGCTCCAAAGCCCACGACCTCCTGATCAGCAATAGGCCAAATGATACTCTCAAAGTCACCTTGATTATCGTAACAAGCGGCGCCATCTCGTTGAGTGTTGTGAGCTCGAGCCCGGAAAGGACAGTTGATCGGCAGCTGGTTGTAATTCGGTCCTAGACGGTGGAAGTGTGTATCTGTGTAGGAAAACAGTCGACCTTGGAGCATCTTGTCTGGGGAGAATTCGATTCCAGGAACTACATGAGCGGGAGAGAAAGCAGCTTGCTCTACCTGCAAATAGTTCACGGCTTGGGTGGCAGAAAGAAGTGAAAGTAAAAAGAAAAGGAGACGCCCTCATCAACCGAGAGCTGCTTCGAACTTAGATATGAACTGACCTCAGCAAAATAGTTCTTGGGATTTCTGTTGAGTGTCATTGTTCCAACAGGTATCAGTGGAAATTCGGAATGTGGCCAAACTTTGGTGACGTCGAATGGGTTCAATCGCCATCTCTCTGCTTGCTCGAAGGTCATCACCTAGAGTCAAGAGATCCAGGTGATTGCGAATACTGAAAGGGCTTAATTACCTGGATGTGGAGTTTCCATTGTGGGAAGTCTCCCCTCTCGATTGCATTGTAGAGATCGCGAATTGAGTAATCAGGGTCTTCGCCCGAAAGCCGAGCGGCATCTTCTGCAGAGAGGTTCTTGATCTTTTGTGCCTGTAATGCAATAAGATTCATTCCATACTCTCTTGCCATCTATAAAGGTTTCCAATGCATAATTCCCCAAAAAGGTAGGATGACGAAGATAAAGCGCAATTCACCTGATCTGCGATTTTTGAGTCTGTTTTTGGAAAGGAATGAGTAGAGGTGCTGTAAGTCTAGGCTGTACTACAAATTGCCCAACTCTTCCAGAGTAACTACATCTGAACACTCCCCTCCCCTGTTCGCCAAATCCCCTGGATGGCTACAGACATCTGGAGCAGAACACCGATATGTATATCAGCTTTACAAAAGCTGTTTCAAGCAGCAAGGTGCTCAAATACTATCAAGAAATTGAAATTTTCGTCGTGACATTAGGCTGTTCTGCTTTTCAATCCTACAGATTTTTCGGAGAATAGAACTACATGACAAACCTTGAAGTGGAATTTACAGTACACTGGTTCTCCCTTGGCATTGACAAGCTTAAAGGTATGAGAGCCATAGCCGTTCATAAAGCGGAAACCGTCGGGAGTTCCTCGATCCGACATCAAGAACATCACCTTAATGCATCGATAGATCGTAGTACGGTCGACTAGCGACAAACACCAAAAAGAACCTGGTGGGTGGACTCAGGTCGAAGTCCCCAGAAGTCCCACATCATATCTGGATCCTTCAGATGAGTCTGAGGATTTCTCTTTTGAGTGTGTATGAAGTTCGGGAATTGCATTGGATCACGAATGAAGAAAATCGGTGTGTTGTTGCCAACCTGAACACAATGTGTATATTAAGTCACTGAGAATTTAGAAAGGTCAAGTACGAATCCGATCGAGAAGCACAACTTACCAGATCCCAATTTCCNTGGAATTTACAGTACACTGGTTCTCCCTTGGCATTGACAAGCTTAAAGGTATGAGAGCCATAGCCGTTCATAAAGCGGAAACCGTCGGGAGTTCCTCGATCCGACATCAAGAACATCACCTTAATGCATCGATAGATCGTAGTACGATCGACTAGCAACAAACACCAAAAAGAACCTGGTGGGTAGACTCAGGTCGAAGTCCCCAGAAGTCCCACATCATATCTGGGTCCTTCAGATGAGTCTGAGGATTTCTCTTTTGAGTGTGGATGAAGTTCGGGAATTGCATTGGATCACGAATGAAGAAAATCGGTGTGTTGTTGCCAACCTGACCACAATGCGTATATTAAGTCACTGAGAATTTAGAAACGTCAAGTACAAATCCGATCGAGAAGCACAATTTACCAGATCCCAATTTCCTTCTTCAGTGTAGAATTTCACAGCAAAACCACGTGGATCACGAGCCGTATCTGCTGATCCCGACTCTCCACCTGCAATGAGATAAGCTTATTGGTGTTTCTCATTGGCTTCAGAAAGTAACAGATGGAATTGAAGGCTCTCACTTGGTTCCTATTTCAAAATACATATACGAGTGCGATTCGGATTAACGCGGGCACCCTAATCGACAACTTGGTTCAATACAGGCAGTTCCGTGGGGAATCGGTAGCCCATAAGATCAAATTTATCAAGCAGTAAGCATTTCTTAAACTGTGAGTAATCTCCTGGTAGCTTTTGTAGCCGTTGTCTAAGTGGGGACACAGAACTGTGGAGGATGGAAGTTTCCATCCGAGTAAGTTGAACCTATGATGCATCAGATCCAACCCTTGCGACATTCTTCTTCCCTTTCACAGCTTAATTCTTCCCTTTGTAAGCCTCATTCATACGTTTATCGCTTAGTGGTTCACAGTGGTCTACTGGCCATGTTCAATAGAGCACTCCTTGTGCCCGAGCTCTCCTTTCCCACTATATCTTTTCCTGACCCACTACATCTTCCTGGCTGCCTCGAGACAGAGGTCATTCTGCCCCCGGTCGTACAAGTGGTTTTAAAACGCGTTTAACATCACGGACAGAAGTAAAACTACAAAGTGGCCGTGTTTCCTCGGGGAACTCACCAACTGTGGAAAAGCGAGCGAAACACGGTGTTTGTTTGCCTATCTTGCTGAAGATGTCAGCTTTGCAGTACTTTGTGATATCATGAGTTACTTCGAACATGCCGTGGGCTCCTGAAAATTGGTAGTTGCTAATGAAAGAGGAAAATAGGATTGGGAGTCCGTCAAATTTTTTCTTAGAAAGTTTTGCTCGGTTGGATTTGTGACGATTCTTGTAGTTGTCAATTGACCTATAAGGCTGACTTCTTATTTAACTTGTTGGACACCACTTCTCAATCTTCCCAAAAAAACGCGTAACTGCTATGACTGTTTCTCAAAAACATTGTCTAGTCTGGCCCCGTCCCATGCAGCCGTCGTTTTTTGGAACTGAGCTTGACGGAAGGATCATATGTAGAGTGTGAAGTATGTCAAAAATCCTCTACTATGAGCTTCGAAGGTTTCCCTGGTGCTGATGTAACTTGCCTGAATTTGACTGATACCAAAAGGTTAATAACGTGAGTACCTCCTCCTTTAGCATGGACCACCCTCTCAGGGATGCGTTCACGATCAAAATGAGCCATTTCATCCATGAACACCACATCTTGC